TTGAGCTTCTTCACCGGCTGGTTCAGCGTGCTCGGCTGTGAGTCGTCCCAGCCCCCCTCCCCCCTACCCCCCCTACCGATTGCTTTTTCTTCATACTGACGCTTGAACCCCCCTCCCCCCCCCCAGGGATCTTCACAACCGCCTCGACGAATCTGATCTACGCCCAGATCCTCATGGCCATGATCGCCGTCTATCACGGCGACCTTGAGATCCAGGCGTGGCAGACCTTTATCGTCTACCAGGGCTTGAACCTCATCACGGCCGCCATCGTCATGTACGGCAACAAGATCATCCCCGGGCTGAACAAGTTCTCCCTCTTTTACCTGCAGATCGGCTGGTTCGTCGTCATGGTCACCGTGGCCGCGTGCGCGCCCACCCACCGCAACGCCGACTTTGTCTTCCGCACCTGGATCAACAACACGGGCTGGGAGAACCAGGTGGTCTGCTTCATCACCGGGCTGGTCAACCCCCTCTACAGCCTTGGCGGGCTCGACGGTGTCACGCACATCACCGAAGAGATGCCCAATGTGAGTCCATCTGATGTTTCTCTGACGCGGCGTTACAAGACCATTACTGATGCCTGGAACACAGCCGTCGCGGAACGCGCCCCTCGCCATTGCCATTACGCTCGGCATCGCCTTCGTTACCGGCCTCACCTACTTGGTTACCCTCATGTTCTCCATCCAGGACTTTGACGCCCTTTCCACAACCAACACCGGCTTGCCGCTTGCAGAGCTCTTCCGCCAGGTCACGCAGAGCGCCGGCGGAGCGTTCGGCTTGACCTTCATCCTCTTCATCGCCCTGGGCCCCTGCGTTGTCAGCTCCCAGCTGAGCACCGGAAGAGTCTTTTGGGCCTTCTCCCGAGACGGCGCTATGCCCTTCTCCAAAGTGTGAGTTTGCTCGCGTCCCCTTGCGCAGCAGCCTGAAATCCGTCAAACTGACAGATCCCGTCTAAAAGATGGTCGAAAGTCCACCCCAAGTGGCAGATTCCCATCAACTCCCAAATGGCCGTCACCGCCATCGTGGCGGCGCTCGGGTGCCTCTACCTCGGCTCCTCGACGGCCTTCAACTCCCTCCTCGGCACCGCTGTCACCATCAACAACATCTCCTACATGTTCCCCATCCTCACCAATCTCCTCACCGGGCGCAGGAACATGCACCGCGGCGTCTTCCACATGGGTCCCACCCTGGGGCCCATCGTGAACGGCATCACGGTGTGCTGGCTGACGTTTGCCATCGTCTTCTTCTCCTTCCCCTATGTTATGCCCGTCGAGCCCGCCAACATGAACTACACCTGCGTTGTTGTCGGCGGACTCGCTATTTTGGTTGGTGCGTGGTGGTTCAAGGCCGGCACGCAATACAGCGAGAAAATGCTCCAGGCGAAGGAAGACTAAAGTGTCATAGTTGTAACAGGAATGATGAAGAGTGGTATTTTTGGGATGTTTGGTTGACCGGGGAACCCCGCGATGGAACGCTTTCTGCAGCATTAGAGATCGTGCTCCAAAGATCGACATATGTAGAGAAGACATCCTTTCCAATCGTGTACGGCATTAAACCGCAGTGTCGTCTGAGTAGCCTAGGCTGGTTACAGTATAAAATTATGGTTTTCAGGATTCGCCAAATGTTCCATGGAATGTGACGTGCAGCCGTGATGCGTGCGACCAACGCACCACTCCGCAGCCCCTCCCTCCTCTTCCCATGGTAGTGGTACAGGCAGGCACCTAGTTTACTTACATGGAGAGACCCAGGCCTCCGGTACTCCCGGGACCAAGCTAGCTCATCTACCGGATATCTGGAACGGGCAACGTGGGGTTGATGGGTCCTAGAGGGCCCTCATCCACGAAATGAGTCTAAAATGAGCTACCGGTGATACCGGCGGGGAGACACCGGCAACCGGGCAATTCGCCGATACTTTAATGAGTGATGTTAATTTGGGGACTCTATAACACTCCAAGGCACTGAAATGATGAGGCAAGTCAAAAGGACCATCGGCATCTTCAGGACTGCTGCTTACCCTCTTCCACTTTGCCTCCTTTTCAACCAGAAACATAACCTGCAACAGCATCTTTTTGATACCCCTAACTTTCTCACTTACTTACTTCTCCACCATAACTTGAATACACATCGAAGAGCAAGACGAATCAACATGAGACTAATCATCAGACCCGATAGCCAGTCCGCATCCGCCCACGTCGCCCACTATATCCTGGGTATGGCCCCTCCCTCCCTTTGCTCCAGTCCGACGAAGGTCCGTTACGCACAGCATAGCCTTCTAACAGCTATCAGATCGCATCAGGACCTTTGGCCCCACACCAGAGAAGCCTTTTGTTCTTGGGCTCCCTACAGGCAGCAGCCCCATTCAGATTTACGACATCCTAGTCACTGAATACAAGGCTGGCCGTATATCCTTCGAAAATGTCATTACCTTCAACATGGTACGTCCTGATGACGGCGCATTATATGAGCGCCATGCTACATATTATGTCTCTATCTGAATCCAACCTAATTGTCACTGTCAGGATGAGTATGTTGGGCTTCCTCAGGCACACCCAGAGTCATACCACAGCTTCATGTTCCGCCATTTCTTTTCCCAGGTGAACGTCAAGCCTGAGAATGTCCACATCCTCGACGGCAATGCGCCTGATTTGGATTCCGAGTGCGCTGCCTACGATGAAAAGATCAAGGCCGTCGGCGGCATAGACCTCTTCCTTGGCGGCGTCGGCCCGGACGGCCACATTGCCTTCAACGAGCCGGGGTCGAGTCTGGCTTCCAGAACCAGGGTGAAGACGTTGGTCATGGACACCATACGCGCCAATGCTCGCTTCTTCGGCGGCGACTTGAGCAAGGTCCCGCAAATGGCGTTGACCGTCGGAGTGCAGACGATTATGGAGGTAAGAGTTTCTCTAAAACGAATGATCTTGCGCGGGGTGGGACCCGACTGACGGGAGTGGTTGACCAGGCGAGGGAAGTCGTCATCATCGTGAACGGAGCAAGCAAGTCCATTGCGCTCCAGAAAGCGATCGAGGGCGGAGTGAACCACATGTGGACGCTGTCGTGTCTGCAACTGCACCCCTACTCGATGATAGTGGCAGATGAGGATGCGACTCTGGAGTTGCAGGTGAAGACGGTCAAGGTGCGTGAGAATCCCGCGTCATCCCAGTGAAATGTTTCTGACATTCGTTGCTAAGTACTTCAAGAGCATCGAGAAGGTCGGACTGGGCAAAGGTTTCGAGCAGAAGCTGCCCCTGAGACTAAGGACCGTATCTCTTGCCAGCCCTCCTCATACGCCAGCAGATAACGAGGCGGCTTTCGTTGAAGATCACCTTGTGGAGTTGACGCCGGATAGTATGTCATCTCGCATGGCGTCGTGGCCCGTCATCTAGACACGGCCCTGAAGAGATTTAGGGAAAGCATTCGGACCCCTTGCAGATACGTCTTATGTATCTATGAGGTGTCGTATGCCAGAATGATTTGATGGCTTTATTTGGGCTTCAAGCAGACTTTAAAAACGGTTATTTATGGATACAGGGGCCTATGGCCTTGTATTGTGTGTGTGTAGAGCTTCTGCCAATGGCGACTTTCACTTTGGAGGCCGGCCGGCTGGCCGGCCTGCTAATTCACTACCGAACAACACCTCCCGCTGCTACGCAACTTCAAACCTCTAGGCAACGTTAGATTAATGCTATTAATGCTTTTTGGTCACTTCGTTAGCAGTCAATAGGCACTTTGGTCACGTGAATTTCAATTCTTTAGCAAGTTGGAATCTGAAAGCAAGGGTGTATTGTTGCACCTTGGGTATTGAGTACCTAAGAAAGACTTTCCCCCTCTCACACCTAAACAGCCTAGATGAATTTGCCCTTGGGCAATTCTCCAAACGCCGCAATTTGACTCCTTTGTTGTTAGCTGTCAACACAGCTATCGACCAGGCCGTTGCCGCCGCTGCCGCCGTCCTCCAAGACCTCTGCGTCGCCCCATTCCAGCTAGACTGATGTTAAAGTACCACTACTGCCGTTATAAAACGTCCTGAGCATTGTTGCATATTAACTTACGTAGCCCTAGCTTCCCTATAGGTTGTTTTGGCCTTTATAGCTGCTGCTGCTACCTCTATAAGGTTAGTAAAGGATGTAGCTATCCCTAGATGCTACAGGAGATTCTCTCCTTTATTTAATCTTAGCCTTCTTCTTCAAGATCTTGGCCTTTGCCTCTGGGTTAGTCTAGTCCTTGACTAGAAGTTTAAGGGTAAAGATGACTAATTTCTCTCTTGTTGACTAAGAGAGGCTAAGGAACAAGGTTCCTCTGTTAACCTTGTGAAGGCCAAGCTCTTTAGTAAGAGTGCTAGTTACCTAGGGGTCCCTATACGCTGTACGTAGTGTGTAGTAGTTATATAGCTGTAGTAGCCCCTAGGGGTTTTCTACAGTTATGTGTAAGCTTAATGTAGGGGGGCAAAGTTAATAGTTGTGTGTGTGTACTTGCCTAGGGAAGAGACCAAGCCTAGCTTCTGCCTTTTTATACCTAGCTATAGCTGGCAAGGTTGCTAGTACGGAAAGCTATCTCTAGGACTGTTGTTAGTATATAATGTAACTTGAGGCGTAAGGTTTTTGATAACCTTAGTAGTAGTAGAGTTATTATATAGCTTATAATAAAGCCATTATAACCTTAGTTGTAGGTTTAATAATGCTATTATTATAAGTACTATAGCTTGCCTGTAAACCTACGTAACCTTATTTAACAGCGTTACTACTAACGTTCTAGTGCCTAAAGGTTATTTACGCTGTAGTTAAAGTAAAGTCAGATTTAGCTGTTACTATACGTTATTAGGTATTTGTAACAGGCTATTGAAATATAGTGGTCATGAACAATAGGTCTTGTATTCAACAGAGACTGAATCTTGGAGAACTATTTTTCTGCGTTTCCTGAGGCTATCGCCAGCTAAATAGTCACCGCTCCCTGAGACACTTCGCTAACCTTAACGGTTGTGTTGCCAGTCGCAGTGAGGGCCTTGCAGGTGGCTGGCACTGTCCTGTGACATGTTCTATGCCATATCAAGATATTAAGATCTAGCACAGGCCAGAGGTGGCCTGTATCAGGTTTTACATACTGTGATATTACATATGTATTGGGTGAACTGCACTAGACCACTTATGGAGGTTTAGAGCGACTATATTCATTAATTCATGGATACAGTTGCTGTACACCCCTATAAGCAGTCTAGTGGAGTTCACCTGGTACATATGTAATACCACGATACGTAAAAGCTCAATACGCAGCAGCTCCGACCTGTGCTATATTTCAATCTCTTATACGGTACCGAAACGGTTATGTATGAAAGATTGGGGAAGAAGACTATGTGGAATTAGCGCTCAGCCGCCCTGGTTCTCATACGACCACAAGTTGTAGCCAGCCTGAAGGCTAGACTGGTCAAAGATGTACCACGAGTTGTCCAAGTTGCGAATCTCTTGTTCAAAACCCTCGGCATCCCCCGACGCAGGCGTGTGAAGTCCTTGAAGCTTCTGCTCGAGCCGGGCAGCCAGCATTCCCCGCAGGCTGGGCTTTGGCTCGTACATCTCCTTCAACCTTTGCAGGTGAACGCCTACGTTTTCTAAATCTGTGCACGGTGCGTCAGCTTTGGCAACGCGCTTTTTCGTGATACGATGAGACTTACCTTCAGGTTCCCCTACCCCTCCGTCAACTCCTTGAAGTACGATAAGAGCAGCCCACGTGATCATGACCAAATCCCAATTAGACCATATCGAAGAGTCGCATATCTGGAGTTTGACGGCCGCTCTAGCAGAGACCAGAAGCTCGTGCTGCTCTTTTGGGGTCGTGTTCGAGAACAGGTTGCAGCCTCTGGCGGGGTGGTATATGGACAAGACAAGGAGTCGATGCAGGATATACTGCCGGAACACGAGCTTCTTCTCGTGCTCGGACTCAAAGTCCTTGTCACTAAACTCCACGAGCCAGTCGTCCAGCTGCCGCGCCCAGTCGCGGATCACAGCGCCGTCAACCCCACTGAACGAAACAGAAGAGATCTGCGCCACGCTGGGCTCGGTTTCGAAGCAGGACCAGATTGTCGGAAGGCCCCTCCCCGTAAAGTGAGTTAAACCTGTGTGCATCATCCTTGACAACCGATATAGCTGATCCTGCAGTGGGATCTTCAGTCTTGGAAGCGGCGCTTCGATGGGAATGACAGGACACGACAGGTGGATTGACGCATGTTCAAGATCCACGATCTGGAGATGTTAGTGCCGCACTCAACAGTTGCGAAAGGAGAGCATACCTGCAGCCCGGCGAACAACCGTCGCCACTCGCGAGATCGCTCATCGGTATGAGAGGGACAATGCTCCAATATGAGACGGTACGCGAGGGATATCCAGACCCCGGTCTCTTTCACGACAGCTTCCCTCAGCAGGCCGGCGAGTATGATACCCAACACCGTTTGAAACGCCCATTCTTCCGCGGAAGCCTTATCGTCGGGAGGCTGGCCGACTTCGCTCTGCGGTATGCACAGCTGGGAGATGGCGCTGCACAAGACGGTGAAATAATCCGGCGCCAAGAGGGCAACGTCTGGTGAACCCCTGATGCTGGAGCAGTAGAGCATAGAGGCCAGCATGAGTGGTCTTGGAGACGAGAACGTCTGTTTTGTTGGGAGAAAGTGCAGCCCCGGCATGGACTCGTGGAACCTGCAAGACATTAGCGTGAGCGGTCCGGAAGGTAGCTTGGGGCAGGTAGAAGGGCGGACATACGACAGCCATAGGCGCTTGATCATGGCCTTGTCCCATATGTTTGAGCTGACATTGGAGGAGCAGCTTCTTCTGAGCACAGATACCGCACCCCACAGAGCGCCGAGTGAATTTTCCCCAGGCGTCCCAGGCTCCAGTACCGTCATCCCTGGAGACGGAGGCGATTCGGGCTCATCGACATTGCTGAAGGGCGGCAGCCCCAAGTGTTCTTCGATTCGTTTGAGACGGAGGAAGACGGACTTGTTTAACAACGGGCTCTGCTCGTTTGCCTGCAGAAGGGACGCAAGCGAGATACTTTCACGATGCGATGCTGACTACAACAAGACATCTGTCAGACGAAGCCGCAGCATAGACCAGACGGCGACAGGACGAGGGGAACGTACGTTGGCTCGCGGTACGAAGACGCAAGGCACTCCTGCCCGTAGGCATCTTCGACATGTGGACCCATTTTCGATTCTACATTTCATCTATATCCGCAATGGGGAGGGGCCCCGTCCATCAGAGCTGAGACTTGGCAACGGGTGTCGACTAAGCATACCTTTTGTTTCCTGCAATTGACTGAGTCGGCACACGAGCATCAGCCACCACAGCCACGGAACAACCAGGGAGGGTGGGTGTCATTGCGGAGGGGGGGGGGGGGGGGGGGGGGGTTGCGGCTTACCACACGCCTTCCGGGCTTTGCTCAGGCCCGACTCCTCCGGCTCAGGCCGGGTCACCATCTTGTCTCTCGCCGGCTGACTTGACATTGTCAACAGCTTATGCACTAGCACGACTTCAAGTCCCACTCTATAGTGTACAGAACGGTTGCGGAGAGCGCAGGTTGTTTGCGGCTTTCCTGTGCCCGTAATTGCTGGGCTCTGTGGGGGAGGGACCGGCGAAACAGGTAGGATCGGGGTTGAGTTTGTTGTTCACCGGTTGCGCCGGGGACCACCGGCTTTTTGAAGATTCGACGGCTAATGCTACGAGCGAGTCTGGACCTGGCCCTTGATAGGCCGAAGAACCGTCATTGGAGGAATTTCTGGGCAATTTGGACCGGCCCACCCGGTAAATCCGGCCCGTGTTTGCCGGGTCGTGATGTTGTAAGAGGCGCGCGGTCGGATGAACAGGTGCAGGTTTTGCTGCATCTCGACGAGATGGCGTTCCTCCGAACGCCGTCGCTTCTCATTCCGTGTCCCCAGCCTCCGGCGCGAACTCCCAGGACTTTGCCGCAGATGTTTGGGTACTTGATCGGGTTAATCTGCTGAGAGAGGTGTTGTACACCCATGAAACCCGCACCCCCCAGCTTTCGAAGCCAACACTGCGTCCCAACCAGCACCGTAAGCGCCCTTCTCTGCTGAAAATCGGCGTCCAAATGTCTTTCGCCGAATCCAGGGAAGACCGGGTCCCCGAGTCCGTAGCTCATGCCCGGAGAATCGCACATGATTTTGACTTCCCAGCGGAGGAGGTCCGTCGCGCGACATGCCACTTTTTGCAACAGCTTAGTCAGTACCCAATACTTCGTCTCTCCCATTGACTTACACGCACTAACATCACCCAGACGAGGGGCTCCAGCGGGATGGCACATCAATGTGTCAGATTCCGTCCTTTGTGACAAACCTTCCCAATGGCTCCGAAAAGGGCGTTTGTATGGCCATAGACCTCGGCGGCACCAACCTAAGGGTGTGTTCTGTCGAGCTGAACGGGGATTCCACATACTCTCTTACTCAGTCCAAGGCGGTGATCCCAAGAGATCTCATGAGCGCACCAACCTACAAAGATCTCTTCAGATTCATCGCCTTGCAGATCAAGACGTTCTTGGAAAAGCACCGTCCCTCGGACTTGGAGACATGGGCCCGCGTGCTGAAGGAGGAGAGCATTACTGAAGAGGCGCGAAAGAAGCACTGCAAGAGCTTGGGCTTTACGTTCAGTTTCACCTTTGACCAACACGCCATCGACAAGGGCACTCTCCTCTACTGGACCAAGTCGTTCGACATCCCGGATGCAGTAGGACGCGACCCCTGCGCCATGTTGCAAGAAGCCCTCGACGAGCAGCAGTTGCCTCTGTTGGTCACCGCTCTCGCCAACGACACGGTCGGCACTCTGGCTACCCGTGCCTATACGTCGCCGGGCCAGTCTAGCAACGCTGTCGGCGCAATCTTCGGAACGGGGACCAACGGCGCCTACATGGAACGCATCTCGCGCATCACCAAGCTGCATTCCACAAAGGCGTTCCGGGACGCTGAGCCGGGTGAGATGATGGCTCTCAACACGGAGTGGGGTGGCTTCGACAACAAGCTCGAGGTGCTGCCGACGACAAAGTACGATCGCGAGCTGGACCGGGACTCGGTCAACCCCGATGATCAACACTTTGAGAAGAGGATATCCGGCATGTACCTGGGAGAAATACTCAGACGGATCCTCGTCGACCTGATCCAGACCCAGCCGGGAATTTTCGAACTCGAGGTCTCTCGGGGTTCATTGCTCCACGTGCCCGACAGTATCGACAGCTCGCTCTTATCTATGGTGGTCAAGGACGACACTCCCGACCTGGAGCACGCACGCGGCGAAATATCAAGAGTGCTGGGAGCCACTCACGTATCGACGAACGACGCGAAAGCCATCAAGATCCTGTCCGAAGCGATTGGTCGGAGATCGGCGAGACTATCCTCTGTGGCGATTGCCGGGGTCGCCCTCCAGTCTGGGATTTTCGAACCAAAGACCGTCGCACAACCGCTTTCACCGTGCTGGGGTCTGGGTATCAATGTCCTCAAGCCCATCCTCTACGGCGTTCAGACCTTTTGGAGGTTCCTCGCAAGCTGGCTCCGGGTCAAGGTCCGCATCACCGTCCCCAAAAAGCAGTCTGCGAGCTCGGCGGGTGGCTCTGGGGGTCAGTGTACGAGTGAGCGCGAGAGCGAGGTCGAAGCCATTGATATTGGCGTCGATGGATCTCTGGTTGAACACTTTCCCAACTTTGAGAAGCATATTCGAGAGGCTCTTGGAGAAATCCCCGAGATCGGTGACCGTGGAGAAAGAATGATCAAGATAGGGATGGCTAGAGACGGCAGCGGCGTTGGGGCTGCGCTGATCGCATGGGCGGCGAGATCGTAATGGATGGACTTTGGCCAGCCATCTCGGGGCTGGGGGGGTGCTTGAAAATTAAACCATTAGAGGAATAGAGAGTTGTGCTAGACGTGAAGACTATAGGCGTGGTTCAGGCTGCCACAGGAAACTGTAGATAGACCGCGTATGATGTGGCCAGTTAATATCATCTTTTACCCAACGGAGCAAATCAGACCGGTTTCGTTTGGCTCAATCCATTGTTCTGTCATGGTGGCAACAGTACTTTAAAGTCATTCATATTCAAATCAAGAAACAACTAACGTTGTAAATCATGTATTAAGCAAAGGAAATCAAGAGGAGAGAAAAATAAAATAAGGGAACAATGATGACTGGGTGAGAATTACACCTAAGTGGATAGAGCAACATTTGAAAAAAGGGCAAAACGAGAGGTCGTGCCCGGGTTCGAACCGGGGTTGCCGGAAGTAGCGATTTTGATGTAATCAAAATCCGGAGTGATGACCACTACACTACACAACCGCTGTCGTTATTGACTGCAGGTGATTTACCTTGACTTTATAAATCACAGAGTGTGGAGACACCCCCACATAGAAACGATGACCAATCAATGATATACATGTACTCAGTGGCAGGGGTAAGTTAAATACCCCAGTTAGGTAGTATCGCAGCACAGTCCAGCTAGCTAGACCAGTAAACAGTACTATAATGCCCACTACTGAAATAAGGAGGGCCCGTGCCCCGCTACGCTGCTCAGGACAATGCATTCTATGCGGTTGTCTTATTGTCGCTGTGGCTGCTGTCTGTGCTGGGGCTGCCCGGCGGGTCTATCTCCTTGTCCTGCTGTCCCCCTGCAGAATCTCCTTAGTCTAGAGATATACGCTGTAGCCCCCCCCTGGTCTACTGCACTGTCCCCTGCACCTCCTGCTAGAACAGCAGTACTAGCTAGAGATACCGCACTAGTAGCTTGCCTACCTTGACCTCCTTGGCTTTCTCCATGACGACGTCCTTCCTTTCAACAGCTAACTAGTATATAAAAAGCATCCAGCTTGCTTTAATAATTGCCAGGTATATTGCTGTGTAGTTTGTCACATTGACCTAACCGCCGTCCTTGTTAATATCCATAAGAGCAAGCGAACTAAGTAAGACGCTCTTGTAGTCACCCTTCTGGAGTGGGTGGTTAGGAACGCAAACTAGCAGCTTGACTGCTGCCGGGAAAGGTTAGGAAATACCTGCTTCCCTCCTAGAGTACGTTACCCACTGTGTGTATACTATATCTCCTCTTAGCTCTCTCGGCTGGCCTCACTTCGTGTAGTCATTGTAGAACACCCAGCCCTCCTCTGCCATGATGCTGTTATGCACGAGCGCGTTATAAGTCAAAGCACCCACTTTCCGATCACCCCCACATTGCGATCACCCAAAAACATCGCCATTATAATAACCACTACCTTATTTAATTAACTACTAACATTATCTAGATACTATAATAATATAACTTTTAGCCTTACTAGGTAATTTAGATACACTAGATTTATCTATATTACTTTTAACCTTGCCTACCTTTATCTAGGCTTACTGTACCTCTTTAATTATTATAAACTTTATATTAGTATCTATATAAATAGCCTTCTGTTTCCTAGATATACTATTAGTAACCTAGGCTTCTAGAAGGCTAATTTTTTACTAGGTAATAGGTAGCTTATAGGACTTTTCTTAGAAGCCTTTTTTAACCTTTTTAAATAGTTAGCGTTATATAATAATATTTTATTTTAGTTAGCTAAAGAGCTATAGTTAGTCCCTAAGGTCCTTTATTTTCCTTAGTATAGACTACTTTACTATAGATAAGGCTAATACTTATCCCTCTATATTATAGGTATCTTAGGCTATATAGGTATCTCTAGTAGCTACTTTAAGTAGTATTAATAGTGTTATTAATAATAATATTACCTTTTAAACTAATAGCCTATTTATAAGTAGCTTTATAGCACTAATAGGCTATAACCTAGTGTATTTCTAGCTACTTTTAATATTACTAATAGTTAGACTAGCTAAGTAAGCCTTTTAATAGTAAAAAAAAAAGTTCTTTTTACTTATAATAGTAAAGTTAATTTACTAACTAAGATATCTAAGCTTTTTTTAATATACTACCTTAATAAAGCTAAAGACTAACTAGTTAAGTAGCTAAAAAATATAGAAAATATATAGTAGTAAAAATAATAAATAAATATTATTAGTATAGTATATCTATATAAAATCTATTATTATATAGCTCTTATACTTATCTAAGATAAGTAGTTTAGCTTAATTAAGTTAAAAAGGCTTAGTCTAAAAAAAAAGACCTTTTATAACTATTTAATAGTAGTATTATTAATAGTCTATTTATTCTCTATTACTATAAACTTTTATTTATTATATAAAGTAAAATTAAGAGAGAACTACTACTACTAGACTATTTTACCTTTATATATAACTAAGAGATAAATAAGAATACTTTTAGTAAATATATACTTAATAATAAATACCTAGGCTTATAATCTAGGCTACTTTTTCTTTACTACCTTTATTATAGCCTTACTTAGCACTAGCCTATTATTACTTTTACCTTTAAGAATACTAGTCTTATCTATATTATATCTATTAGCTAGTTTAATAGCCTAAATATAAAGTATAATAAGATATTTAAACTAGTCCCTAATAACCTTAGTAAATACTTTATTAATACACCTTAAATTAATAAATTAACTTCTCTAGACCTTAATAAATAAGTTCTTTTAAATAAAGCTATCTATTTACTTTTTACTTAAAGGTTAAGTATCCCCTATAGTATAGAGGATATAATAAGTAAAGTCCCTTAGTTATTAATAGGTTAGTAGTAGCCTAAAGTTAGCCTAGGTAGTTACCTAACTAGCTAGGCTAGCCTTCTAGGTAGCTAGTAGTCACTAGAGGTCCTTAAAGGCATTAGCCCTCTTTTAGGTGCTAGATAAATAGTTCTAGAGGGTAGTAAATAGGATACTATAGGTCTTAGATACTTAGTGTATACTACTGCTAATAGTAATAGTATTTATTACCTAGGTAATCTTTAACTTAGTATATCTAACTATAGGGTAATAAAGAATAAATACTAAAAAAATAAAGTTATTTAGATAAGAACTATAGAAGTAGTAATAGTATATATATAGTGGTTGGTGGTGGCTGGGGGTGGATATGAGGTGGATATGCATGATTGCAATGTGGGGGTGATCGGAAAGTGGGTGCTTTGACTTACGGCATATCTTATAGCTGCTTATTTCAACGGTAGCCCTGCTCACCCTTCCACCCCCTAAATCCTAGGACAATACGCTCGTGACAAGGAGCACCCACAGCGCAACTCCCACCATACTACCTCCCGCTGCCGACCGGCCAGAGCTGCCCTCGTGCGTCCCCGTGATTCCACTGCCTATCCCGTTTCTGGCGAACGTGGACGTCTAGTCAGTGGTTTTGAGATGCCGAATAATGTATCTATTTTAACCCCTTGACTATGCCTTGCGCCAATCGACACAGTCAGGACGTGTTCGGAAACTTGAATAGAACTTGGATAACGGAGGTCACAATTCTGAGTTTGAAGGGTACCCGTGACTGGTGCTATCATGCCCTCAGTAAAGTTTCAAGTACCCGCAGGTCAACAACCATTCTTTCCGGGCCCAACCTCAAGACACAGCTTTAAGGGAGCGGATGGCCGACGTAGGTCAGCGTAGATACACTAACAATATCGAGGGATTTCTAAGCTTCACCGTGTATTTGTCATCTTTGTAGCTAATTTGAGAGTCGTGTAGACTGTAACGCTTTTCCCAGAAATGAATAAGAGTAATAATCCGTGAGGAAGTGGCAACTGAAATGACAGACTCTTGCGGTAATGTATTAAGTTAAGGGACCATTGGAGAAGCCTAGTAAACAACTACTGAGGCAAGTTGATTGCAGGCGTTGGTATCGGCGTATTCAACTTGTTACAGTTTCGCATAATCTCGTTGCGAAGCTACAATGAACCCGAGCGCCCGCGAAGTGAAGTAGGAAATTGCCTGATCCTTGGAATATCTTACAGGACGATGGCGCGGCTAGATAATGTAGTCTTTTTTTTCAACCCCTCGAGTAATGCTGCACGAGGTTTCACGACCGTCGCAATACGCAACAGATACCGGACCGAAACGTCCGTGCTTCAAAATAAAATTCTAATAAGTCGTGAGAGACTGTGACTAGTTAAGCCGGCAATACATCTTCCAAACGTTGCGGATAGCCCGGATAGACGTAACGGTGTTTCCGGATTGCCGAACATGGAGTCCCACTGTTACTGTATCGCGTCGCTACGCCATATGCAAGGAGGCGCGGATCTTTAAGTTTCATCGGGCTATCTGTATTTCTAGCCCACCAATCCCGTTATGCGTTGGACTTTTACGCATTCGGTCTTGTCCGTGTTCCGAGGCATCCCCGCATCGTCTACAGTGTACACAGAACGAGGGGTTCAATGCCAAGGAATGGAGTCGCAACATATGCGGAGGGGCATCGCTGGCATTCGGCTCGAAAGTCGACTCCGGTGCCGAGCTGCCATAAAGTCGCCTCATCCTGCGCCGTGAGCCCAAGCAAGATTGAATAAACCATGCAGGCAATTTTACCTTGTTTGCCATACAGCTCTGCGATGTTTAAACAGCACTTAACCGCTGCGTCATCAACTCACTGATTCCACCATGACGCAAGCGTTCGGCACCCTCCCCGGCGGGGTTCTCAAGACACCCGAGAAGTTCACACTCCGAGTCCCGGATCAGGATCTGGACGAGTTCAAACAGCTCCTACAGCTGTCCAAGATCGGCCCTGAGACGTGGGAAAACAAGCAGGATGACGGACGCTTCGGCGTCACCCGCGACTGGCTCATTGGCGTCAAAGACGCCTGGCTCAAGTTCGACTGGAGGAAGCAAGAGAACCGCATCAACTCATTCCCCAACTTCAAGGCCAAGGTGGAGAACGCGGATTTGGGAACCCTGGACATCCACTTCACGGCGCTCTTCTCAAAAAGAAAAGATGCCGTTCCGATCATTTTCATGCACGGGTGGCCGGGCTCGTTTCTAGAGTTCTTCCCCATCCTCGATCTGTTGGTGAAGAAATACACCCCCGACTCCCTGCCGTACCACGTCATTGTGCCGTCGATACCTG